TCATGCTTTCATATGCAATTATTCAGCACTCACCCAACGTGGAGACAGACATAAATAGACACTGTACACACAATCACACTCCACAGGTGTATTCTATACCCCAGGTCTAGGTACCCTTGCCCCTGGAGGGGGAAACTGCACCCAGACCCAGGAGGAGTTACCCTTTTCCGTGGGGTGGAGACAAGCAGACCGCCCCGACTCCGCAGAAGCAGGGAGGCCCCACATTCCAGACCCCAATCGGACAGCCAACTCCTCCTCCCAGCCCCTCCGTCCCAACAGGCAACAGAGAACGGGATGGGGGGGTGAAGACTCCAAACCTCCCTCCGCCTGCTCATATGTAGTGTTGATGGATGTGCGTTCTAAGGTGCATTTAAAACCCAGGAGGCCATTGAGCTACCTGCCAGAGAATAGCAGATAGCAGTGAGCGACCATCTTTGAACAGAGGCGGTGGTTTACAACACCAACTGTCTGCCATCTATAATCCAGTTTTAAGAACCCTTCCCAGACGCCTTAACGCCCACTCACATCCTGGGCCACCTGACCTCAGGAAATCACATAATAGGGTGGGGCCAGGTTTCACAATGAGCTGGCTGATTGTGACCCACACCCGTTTTCACACCTCGGCTCATGTGATTAGGTAGAGGATCATCAGGGGGTCCTTTGTCCCTCTTTGGGGGGAAACTCCCACAGGGTTTAAATCTGGGACTCTCCTTCATTTGACCTTAGAACTGAAGAAGCTTCTCGGATGAGAGGTGAAACGTCTTCAAGCAACCTAAAGAAGTCCAGACGCTTTTCTTTCCAAGCTCCTTAGACTAGCAGATAGCTGAACTGAATCTAACTAAAGAGACATCTGAACATAACACACACAAGACAAGAGACCATGAAAATAGAAGAGGTAATACCAGAATATGGGCATGCAGACTTTTACACAAAGACAGAAAGAGACAAAAAGCACAGAGAGACAAATTACTTCATACAGGAGACAAAAACAAAAATGAGACCAGGACAGGCGCGAAAGGGAACTAACATGATGAAACAAGGGACTAAGGACTGGAACATACTGGAAGATAATCTCAGGAGCACTAGGAATAGATAATCTATTCTAAAGACAAAGAACTTTAATATAAACCACTAGTTAAATCCAAAGGAACAAATCCTGAGTCCACAACAAACTCAAAAACACTGGGTCAAAGACCTAGGACCATGACACCTTCCACATCAGGTGGTACGACCAATGTAAAATTAGGAAAATATTAACCTATCTTAAAATCTTTATCTAATTTAAAAGTTACATGTATGCGTTTGACGCCAAATCCAAAAGACAACATAGATGTCTCCATTACAGTTAAAATAGAAAATCAGTTGATGCAGCTAAAAGAATTTTACTTCGTGAAATTAATGTTATCAAAAGCTTTATAGTTACACATTACATTTTTAAAATTTTTATTTAATAGACGTTAAGAACTTTTCTTCATATTAACCTTCTTACTATTAGTATTCTTATTTTTGTATTAGTAACTTATGTCCTCTCCACTGTTTCTCCTCTCTCTGTTACCGCTGTTTCTTAAATTTAACTAACTAAATAAAATAAAACAATATTACACATATCTTTACGGTTAATTGAACGATTAAACTGACAAAATGGAAAATTTGACAAAATCTCACACATTTGCAAAGTTGGAGATATTTAACTCTTAAATTATATAAATATGAAAGTGACTATAGATCCAAAACACATTTGATACACGTGTGAAGACTTTGGACAAAATTATAGCACAATATTCTGAGCCTGACCACTCTATCCTTAAGCCCTCTTTGAGATGAAATGATAAATTCATGGATTTACATTTATCTATAAACAAGAATAAATCTTTCCATTTAAATATCTTGTACAATTTTATGAACTATCATGCTGTACAGAACTTATGATATCAAGGGAACCAGTATATGGGACAGTATCGTTTCTTTTTCTACCAGGCTGTCAAAAAAATTATCTATTATTCTGGAAAAGATGGGCCTATGGGGGTAGGTCACCCCTTACATGCTAAAAAGAAGTGGGACAATTTAAAAAATCAAATACAAAACATGTATATGTGTTATCAACAGAGATACAACAGAGATGGGCAGTAATCCGATTACTTTTTTTCAAGTAACGAGTAAAGTAAGGGATTACTATTGCAAAAACGGTAATTAGATTACCGTTACTTTCCCGTAGGAACGCTGCGTTACTGCGTTACTAAAACCGTGATTTTTTTGCGAGAATGTCTCATGACAGTGACGTAAGCAAGTGCGACGTTCGTGACAACAGCTGTGTGCAGATCACCGATGGATCATATATCGAGTGCGGGAGAGAGTATGAGCGTGCAGCGTGGAAGTACTGACCTTACTTTGAGTTTGATTCCATAAAAAGTGACAAAAACATTAGCGTCCATCGTGCGTGGGAAGAAAACTTTTTACAGCGAAAAAAACCCCTAAACGTCCAAGCAAGCACTGAGTGCGCTATGACGTAATGTGAAACTCACAGAGAAACTCGCGGATTCTTCAACTGACTGCTGCGGCACACCTGCACCAGGGTAAACCTCCGCCTACCCCACTCCTGCTTTACAGGTGAAAATAGAGCAAAAGGACCGCTGAGTCTTTGACTTTATTTATTTTCTGCTGTGTTTTACTTGCATCTATTTGAAAGACTGCGTGTAAACACAAAAAAAAATTATTTAATGTGCTGGAATGTGCAGAAAATAGGTTTAAATATTAAACAAATTTCTTCCAGTCAGAGAATGGTGCATATAATTAAATTATAGCTTGATGCATAAAGTTAAAAGATTAAAACTAATAAAACAAGTTAAAAAAAAAGAGACTTTTCCATTTGATTACATTTTGTATGATGGATTATGCAGAAAAAGTAGAATTGGGCTGAAAGATCTATTACTTTATCACCTCTTCAGGTTGTAAATCGTGTTTTTAATAAGTAACTAAGTAATTAATTACTTTTGAAAATAAGTAATCAGTAAAGTAACTGGATTACTTTTGGGGGGAAGTAATCAGTAATTAGTTACTGATTACTTTTTTCAAGTAACTTGACCAACACTGGTTATCAATAATATGAATTTGGATGGATGCATAGATAACTGTCATCAGCATATTTTATTTATTTATTTTTTTTTACATCTATAACATAAAGATAATTTGGAATATTTTAAATGTCTGATTAATAAAATAGAAGAAAATGAAAAGGTAACAACAAAACGAGAATATATACAAGAAATCAAGAATATTTACAGGATAAGAAAACAACTATGTACAGGTATTTATAGTGCAGACCACAGGATTAATCTGACTGACCTGTACCTGGATTGTTTCTTTGAACTTTAATAGCACAGCAGGCCCGATGTTTGCCTGGACAGGAAGTCTCTGGCAGTTTCTGCTGAAGCTAGATCAGAGAGAGGGATGTTGTACTGCTCCTGAGACCCGTATCTTGTCTTTTCTGGTCGGGTGGTCTGTAGAGAGTGCTTTGGATGCTTCCTTCCATTGTCCATCGGTGGCTGCCACTAAGATGAAACAAAAAAAATGTGGATACTAGTCACTCTTCAACAAACAAAACAGGTTAACAAAGCACTAAAAAAAACATAAGAGGAACCTATACTTAAAATTTTTAGCTTGCCTGTTAAAAGTAGTCGTGTTCTGGTGTACCTCCTCCAGGACAGCAGAGAGTTTGCTCTGACAGAGAGAACCCCTGACTGCCTCCAAACCAGTCATCCTCTCAACCACTCCTGCATATTTCTCAGGCTCATTCTGCGGGGCCATGATGTCACCGGCACGGAAGCAGAAGAAGCATATGCTGTTATGACCTCCAGCACTTGCAGGAAGATGGCTCAGAATCTGGTCTTCATAACAGAATGTGCCCTGGAATATTGGCTGTTGATGCGCTGGGCTCCCACAACTTGTACTTGCCTTTTGTAGGGAGTGATGAGGGGTAATGGACATTGGAGTCATGGGGTACACTCCATGTGCCAAGATAAAATGCCATTGAGGAGGGTAGACTGACTGTCTGCACAGTGGGCTGTGGCAGAGCAGTCTGGACTCAATTGGGGCACCCTATCCATGCTTCCGATTTTGGTTCAGTGGATTAAGCAGCACTGCCAGAAACTACCAGCTCAGCTGAAATTCAGGCTTGGTGTCCTCATGGTTAAAGACACTGTCCAGCACTGGGACACTGCAGTACAGAGGTCTGCTCTGGTTAAGGAAAAGCTAAAGAACAACATAAACAGTTTTACTATTAAGGTACGATATGGGCTATCTTCAGAGATCAAAGCATTCAGAATTTTACACTTAATTAAACATACTAACGCACAGTGAAAAGACTCCACTGTTGTACGCCTTACCTGTGCAAATCAGGTTTGTTGTGAACTCAAACATTAAAGAGTCTGTTTTCAGTTTTGTGACATTTTTCCACACACACAAGAAGATCAACTGAATATTAGAAAATGCTCTATTTTAAATTTGAAAGATATATTTAGTTTTTCTAGCTATAATAAATGTGTATATTTGATCACCAATGATTCAGTTCCTGAAATTAACCATAAAACTAGCTAAAAACTTACAGATTAATCAAACTATTTTACCTGGATATGATAATCTGTCAGCTTTAGATACAACGGTACAGCTCCTGCAGCTCTCTGAGGATTTTTTTTTTTAAAGGGAAAATTTCAGGTTCCATTTTGACACCACTGCAGGTATTTCACATTTGCACAAATCTGCTCAACTCTTGTTGTGTGTTTGTGTTCCTTCCTTATACACACTGTGCTTATGTGCTACAAGTGAAATAATTTCCAATTAGTGAAACTAGCCTACTAAATGAACAATGGGCTGTGAGGTCAGTTCCATAAGGTTGTGAAAACCTGCAGTCAGCTGAGACTAAAGAAGTCACTTGAACGAAAGTTTGTGCAGCACAAACGTTTGAGCGTGCAGAAAGACATAACCCAGCTAGGGTTCACCACTCACTGATGGCCTGTAGGAGGCAGCACGAGCAGTCAGCCGGTATACAAAGTATTGAAAAAGAAGTGTTTCCGGGTGGCAGGTGGATGTTTTGGTGTGGGTCGGGTTGATTAGGTCGTTACAGGTTCTCCAGTAAACCGGTCCGTGCACACTTTGATGCGCTCCCCTGAGCTCTGCTAGCCGGATATCAGTGTCGCCCCCCTCACTCGCTCCGACCCTGACATGGCCTCCAGGCGGCCGGACAGCTTCGACGGGCTCGGGTACCGTGGCCGGGATGACCCGCTGTACGGAGCGGGCTACCCGGTTCGGAGCGCCGGAGCCCCCGCCGAACCGCAGCTCCACCACTGGGTCACCACGCCGCCCGACATCCCCGGCAGCCGCAACCTGCACCCTGGAGAGCGGACACCTCTTTTCGATGACGCCCCGGGAGAGATCGCAGGTTCTGCAAGCGGCTGGGAAGCTCCAAATCCCAGCAGGCCCCCCGCTGGTAGGTTGTTGTGCAGGTTCAGAGTCACCTAGCCTAGCTGGCTAACGACAGGATGGAGCCAGAGCTGGCCAACTAAAGAGATAATGGTCTGATAGGCGCCGATGACCTGTCAGCATGCATGCTAACCGGAAGCTAGCGCACAAGCTAATCAAGCTCAGAGTAATTATGTAATAAACGAACCGGGCTAGCGGCTAGTTAACTAGAAGGCTAATTATATTAGCCAGTTGGCTAACAAAATGCACAAATAGTAAATACAGTAATATAGTAAAATTTTGACTCGCCCATCATTTCCCAAAATGGGAAACGCAAAATGCAAAGATGTGTTAAAACATGCAAACACACCTGGAAATACAGTCAGTAACGTAAAACAGAGTCTAACTCCAACGAGCTTGACAGTAAATATCTGGTATGAGCAGCTTTATTCTGCAGCACCGCCTGAACTCTCAAAGGCAGCTTTCTGTAATTTGTGTTTGTTGTGCTATGTTTAGTTTACTACTTATTAACTAACTTTATTGGAGTTAAAAGTTATTAAAACAGTGGAATCATCCTCAGTGATGAATGAACTAGACAGCAGACTGTTTGGTAGCTTATGTGAATAAAGCCGTTATTGATTTTATTTATGGGCGTCCTGCACTGTGCGAGTTTATCGTGTTTGCTTTTGTCGTTGCAGAGCAGCTGAATCGATTCGCTGGCTTCGGGGTTGGATTCGTCAGGTGAGGAAATCGTTTCTCATGGTTTCAAGATGAGCAGAGGCTCGGACCGAGTCACTGCATGTGGACCAATATTCAGCTTGAATGAGTTTATTCAGTCTGAACTGTTTGGACTCCATGGTTGGGAACAATCACACATCTTTCTGTTCTCCGTGTTTCCACTGAAGCTGAAGCTTCATTTAGTTTCAGCGACTCACTGCAACAAAAGTCTCCACTGTCGAGTCAAAGATGCTGGTGGTGATTTTGGTTCTAATCACAGGGAAAAATGAGAGCAAAAAAGGGACGAGACTGTGTCAGTGCTCGCCATTAGTGACAACCAAAAAGCGAGATGTTTTACTTTTTGACACGTTCATCCCAAAAACAGGCTGAAGTGTGAGTTTGGAGAAGTCAGGGGGTTTCTAACTAAAACGTGTGTGTGTGTGTGTGTGTGTGTGTGTGTGTGTGTGTGTGTGTGTGCGCGCACTCAGTCTGTTCACAGAGAACGTCCTCTCTCACCCCTGCATCGTGTTCCGCAGACAGTGCCAGGTATGACCTCACCTTCTTATCAATAAATGATCCATAAATAATGATGGCTATGGATTAAAATACTTTTATTAACGCTGTGGGAGAAACTTTTTTATTTCAGTTTTGTGCGTTTTGAGACATTAAATGTTTTATTTTCCTCTTTCTGTTGCTGCACTCTGATTGGCTGTTTACATCAGGTGAACTACCACGCCCGGTGTTATCACCTGACTCCATTCAGCGCTGTCGCTGTAATGTACAGCATCACCAAAGCTCAGGTAACGGGACACACTAAAACCCAAAGATGAATAAAAATATATGTAAAAAGATAATTTTGAATACGTTTGATTGTTTCTTATAAATTATGATAATTATATTTGTATAAAAAGCAGTATAAAAATATTAATCAAATAGGAAAATCTAAATGTATTTGGACATAATGACATTTAGAATATTTCTTTTAATAATACAAAGTTAAATAGATTGAAAAAATTAAAATGGAAAATGAAAGTATTTTAACATTATTTACAAATAAGTTTAAAAAGTTTAAATATTGCAAAATAGTAAATGCAGATACAATATGGAGGTTTACAACTGATCAGAATAATCAAAATAATTAATAATACAGTATAATGTATTTATTATAAATACAATATGAAAACTCAGATAAATATTAAAAGAATAAAAATAGAGACTTAATTATTGATGATGGAGGGGGCACTGTGATGTTGCCTCACAGGAAGGAGGACTACTACTGATCTACTCCGGCTTCCTCCCACTAACCTGAGTCGGCCTGTCCACACACATTTATACTTCAGGATATAAATTGTGTTATTATGTTGTCGGTGATTAATATGTTGTGTTGATCAGGGTGTGAAGGCTCTGTGGAAGGGGATGGGCAGCACATTCATCGTTCATGGTGTTACGCTCGGAGCCGAGGGCATCATCAGCGAGTTCACGCCACTGCCACGGTAACCACCTGCTCCCACTAGCACATGGATACAGTATTGTACAACGTCACTCTGACATCTTTGTGTGTGTGTGTGTGTGTGTGTGTGTGTGTGTGTGTGTGTGTGTGTGTAGGGAGCTTCCTCACAGGTGCAGCTGGAAACAGGTGGCTGGGCATTTGCTGCTTAAAGGGTCAGTTTTTCTTCTTCTTCATCTTCTTACCTGTCATTTTTTTTTTTTTTTTGTTTTTTTTTGCTGTTAAACAGAGACTGAGATACAAACTGACCCCGCCTCCTCTCTCTCTCTCTCTCTCTCTCTCTTGCAGATTAACGGCAGTCGTCGCTCTTCCATTTTACTGTGCCAGCCTCATTGAGACCGTGCAGGTCACTGATTATTGTTTATTGAATAGCGATGCCTCTTTTATGACAGCAGTCAGTTAGCAGCAGCTCATTAGCTTTCCTTTTATCACATGATGAGGTTTACCAACTAGTGGTCTAGATCAGAACCTCTTTCTCTGTTCATGACATCACTCACAGAGCAACCAATGAGAGTGAGGTGTTGTTGTGGCTTTTTGATGTTGGTTTATGCCTTCACTGCCATGAGATCACATAAAGTGGTGCATAATCTCTCCAACACCTTACCAGCGTTGTGTGAGATTGATGATGCCATCAGCCACACGGTTCCTGTTTGAAACAACGAGAGCATGATGATGTCACACAAACAGGAAGCTGAGGAGCAGCTGTTAGATGACCTGCTGTTCAGTCATTTAGAGCAGCGGTCTCCAACCTCTTTTGCGCCACGGACCGGTTTATGCCCGACAATATTTTCACGGACCGGCCTTTAAGGTGTCGCGGATAAATACAATAAAATAAAACTAGTACTGGTACCGAAAAAAAGAAGATTTATTCATAACACACGTGAAAAGACCCAGGAAAACAGAGTTAACGATAAAAACGGTAACAAAATAACGCTGAAAACCGATTAAAAACCCTGAAAACTATACATTTCACACCTGAGCCTCAACTC